TAAAAAAAAAAAGAAAATGACAAAGCCCATTAAAAAAATCAATGTTAAATGATAAAATCAAATTTGAAAATAAGTAAAAAAAAATTATATTAACTTGTGTTAACTTTTTAAACTCATGACTTAAGTTATTAAACTAAAAGCATCATATATAAAAAAATTACGAAATTCAATTTCTAACCAATTAAATGTTAAAAGGTGAAATTAAAAAAAAATCAAATAAAAAAAGTGAAATAAAAAATACAAAATAAGAATTAAATTGGAAAATATAATAGCACATATTAGGATTGAATGATGCAATTGAAAATAAATAAAAATTTTACAATGAGGTCAAAAAAATAAAAATCAAAATAATAAAGACTAAAACTGAAACATAAACTAAGAATATAATTCTAAAATTTTGAATGAGCAACATGAATTTTGAATAGATGAGAAAATAAAAAAGACAAAAAAACCTCGTTTGCAATAAATCATAATGTCATTGTCATCATGCATAGCTAAAAAAAAAGATTTTATGAGGATTCCAACAACACCACAAAAAATAATTTTTGACCTCTATTTTTTTTAAAAAATAATATTTTATATTTATTAAAAAATTAAATTTCTCATGCTTAGCATCATAATAAAAAAACACAAAAAAAACATAATGAAAAGACCAAAAAACCCAACAATTTAAGTTTTGAAAATTTTATTTTTAGAAGTAATCCACTCATTTTACCATGTTTAAAAAATAAAAAAATTCTTAAATGTCAGTTTTAAAGATTTTGATTTTAAAAATAATCAAGTTATTGAAATCATGTTTAAAAAATAAAAATAATGGATTTTTTTGCAAGATTTATTGGTTATTACTATATTAATTAAAAATAAAATTGTTTTTATTTTTAATTAATATAGTAATAACCAATAAATCTTGCAAAAAAAAAAATCCAGATATTCTCAACACCCAGACCCTTGTTTTTTTTCAATGAAAGAGCAAAAAAATAATAATTATATTGTCATAATAAATACTAAAATATATCACTAGCCACAATGTTTTTACCTTCTATTTTTTATTTTTGTTGTTGATACTATAAATTAATGGAGTGATATCATCATCAGCTATCACTCGTTTACTAGTAACGGCGGCGGCGCCACAACACGGGGGTGTTTTTATTTTTTCAGGGACTGGTTGGTATTTCTATTTTATGTCTTGTGTATGGTAACATGTTCCCTTCATTGTTTGTTTTAAAAGTTAGGTTTCACATGTCAAGTCAGTGTCACAAAACCATTTTCATAACCAGCACCGAAACTTCTCTCCCCATCCCTGTTGACCTCATCAAAACCTTAGCTTGCCTAGCTTCACAATGGCTTCTCTTGCACGAGTGCATTTGATGCGTTCATCCTCCATCTTCAACCAAAATCCCTTTCCACCGCTGACAAGCAAGTATACCAAAATCAATCTCATTCATAAATGTAATGAATTCACAGGGTGAAAACATAATTCTACAATGATATTGATATCAAAATCCCTGAATTTTGGCAATAAAAAAACATAGCCAATTGAACCACTATAGTAAAAATCAATATATGAATTCACTTTCTCAGCTAGAGAGAATATAATGGGTCGTGTTGATGTTTTCGTGCATTGATGGTGCTGTGTGTGGCTGGGATTTTAGACCAATTCTATATTGGTTTTAGATAGAGGTTGTTTCAGTGGTTTGATGTTGTGAGAGGAGAGGGCAATGGTGATGGTAAGTTAGGCGATGGTGGGTTGTGTGATGGGTTAGCGTATGGTTATGTAAGGGAAAAGGGAGATCATCATGAGAGTGACGAGGGAGATGGGTAAGGTTTGGTTTATGGGTGTTGTCGAGTTTATGGTAAAGAAGATGGTTGTGCAGTGGAGGTCAGATGGGTGGTGGCTGAAATTTGGTGGGTTATGGTTAATTTGTATCGAGCTACTGACATTGTCATTTCCGGTGGTTGTTTGGGCAAGAGAAAAGTGGGTTTGTGCTAGATATGGAAGTGGCGGCGGCAATTGCAGGGCCGTGTTGAGACGATGAAGGTTGTTGATGGTTTATTAGTGGATCGAGAGAGGGAGGTGGCTCTGGGGTGTTGTCGGTAGGACGCAGCGGTTAAGACCGTCGGCTGCCCTTTCCATTTTCTTTTTTCTTTTTTCCTTCTATTTTATAAGGGCATTTCAGACAACAAGAAAATTATAATAGCAAACTTATAATACTGTAGACTTTTTTTCCTTCAATTGCAATTTTTTTTTAACCTTTTCTCGTTTTATTTTAAAAATATTTAATTTTTTTAATTAATATATTTTTAATGTTTTCAAATTATTTTGATATATTAATTTTAAAAATAATTTTTTTTAAATAAAAAATATTATTAATATACTTTTTTAAATGCAAAACATTCACAATCAAATAGATATTTATGATGTAAAGTGAAACAAAAGTTAAGTAAACTTAATCCAACTACATTTAAAAGCTTGATAATGAGTTTAATATCTTAATCATAAATAAATTAAAATAATATTTTTTTTTTAAATATAATAATATAGTTTTGATTTTAAAATAAATCAACTCGCAGAAGTAACACCAATTACCCCTGTCATGGAGAAGCCATCATCGTCTCCTAAGAAGTTATCATGGAGAAGTTCTTTATTCACACACCGGACGATCTTACTCTTTTACTGGAAAGCTAGTAAGAGATAATCCACCAGAAAGAGTCTTTCAGATAAAAAAAATATATTTTAAAAATAGTTATTTTAATTTAGAATTATTGAAGTAAATTAGAGAGTTTCTCCTGATTTGTTTTTTTTTTATTTGAAATTTAAATTAATATTCTCCTCAAATTGATTCCAAACATAAAAATAAATATCTGACTCTTAAAATTAAATTTAATTTCAAGGATTTTAAACAGACTATGAAGGAATTCAGTTCGAATTGATATTAAAAATTCTTTTTTGAAAAACACTCCTTTTTTTATTTCTTTCTAATAACCTGAATTTATTTATTTTATTTATTTTATCACTTTCTTTCCATCTCTTTTCCAACAAGTTAATTGTCCCCCCTGACTTTGCCTGCAAAATGAATGCTCCACGCAAGCTTTTCGTTGCTGCTTCCACTATACGTTGCCGCCATAAAAGTTTAGGCGAAAAAGTTAGTGTGGAAGGAGCAGAAAGAAGCACAATGATCTCAAGAGCATTAATGGCAAGTCAAGACAGCCATTGTCCCTTGCGGAGACCTTTGATGTTAAATATTTTTCACGATATTTTTGGCCTATTGAGCAGCAATGATCTCAAGAGCCCAATGGAGGAGGCATTTGGGATATGAGAAGTGTTATAAATAATATAATTTTAAGAAGTTTTTTTTTTTTTTAAAGATTCATATCTCAAGTTAGAGAAAATATCTTTTATCTTTTTTAAACTTAATAGATTCTTAATTGATTCGTGTATTAAAACCTTTTTAGGGA